AGACGGATCAACCTGCCAGCTTCTTGCTGCTCGTATCCCAGTCCGTGTCAACTTAAAAAAAAAATTCTAGTAAGCGGCAAGCCATCGTGTATAGTCTCTGCTGACATTCTGGGTATTTCTTTGAAAGCTTCTAGTGGTTTGTTTCTTGTTTTACTTATTGCGAATCTCTAATTGATGACAAGCATTCCTTCCTCTTCTGCTTTAACGTTTAAGCTTCTCGCATTCATTAACCAGATTCTATTAAGAAACGACTGTTTCTTTCATGACGTTTAAATTTTTTGCACTTTGCTTAAATGATTAATGTTGATGCCATGGATCAGTGATTGAACTTTATTGAATTGCTGTGTCATGTTATTATTATTGAACTGGATTTATGAATATTTAATTTTCTTTGAGCTGTATTTAATTAATTAATCTGCTTTCATACCCGTAACAAGAAATGTTCACCATTATCCATTTGGTAGGAAAGTTGAAATTTCAACGAGTTTAGTTATGAGCAAATATTAAAACAAAATGTTGGCAAAACATATCCATTTCGAAGAGGCAGAAGTAACAAATCAATACCGACGTTTTTGTCCAAGGCGTCATCAACGTTATCGACCGAGTTGATCACCAAACTGATGTATTACAATTATTCTTGAAAAAAATTGAATTTAACAATACATAGTCAATTTTAAAAATAGGACAAATAACATCTTGAAAAATTATAAAAAAAATAAACCGCTCACAAATTTATTTAGTCGAATTAAACCTTATTTAATTTAACTTGTTAAAATTTTAAATTTTAAATTTAAATTCAAAACTAAATTAAATTAACCCAAGCCAAACGTTGATTAAATTTTAACCGAAAAGTGCTCAACTCAGTTAACGACCATAATCAATCCTACATAAAAACAATATAACAAATATATCTAAAAGCATAAAATAGAAACGTGGCGTTGCACTATTGGAAGAAAAAAATCGGCCGGTGTAGTATAAATACTTTGAAGCCTTCCCTCCATTTTACTTTATCAATCCACTGTTTTATATATTTATTAATTTAAGCGTAAAATATACCAACCACCCAACTATAATTCATTTTTATTTTAACCACTATTTATAAATTTTTGTCAATCATATCATCAAATTATTTAAATACATTCAAACATGTCAGTGACCGTTACAATAATATTAATATAATTACACATTTGATCTTTAATATTTATATATTATTTCAAATTTATTATAATTTTAATTTAATTTAATAAATTAAACCTCTAATTAGATGATGAAATATGTAACTATCAAATTAGAAGATATTTTTATTAATTTTTATTAATTTTTATTTTATTTTATTTTGTATCCAATTAGATAGTAACACATGTCACCACCTTACTTGATACAAAATTATATAAAGAAATATTATTCAATTTGAGGGAATCGAACCAGTGATTTGGTTTTCTTATTAGCTCCACCTAAACCACTGTCTAAGCCCTTCAAATGATAATATTTTATAACATTGTATATATTACTTTTTCAGAAAGATCATCTTATGTAAAGAAAAGAAGTTGAAAAGAAAAAAAGTGCATTTTCAATGTGCCGAACTCGGGTCTTCAGAGTGAAGAAGCGTGCATCAACCGGGTGGCGTTTGATTGGATGAAATCCTTTGAAATTAGTGGGAATTAGAATCTAACTCCACCACTTTCTCATGTTTAATTCAAGTTTTTCAAAAGAATTGGAATCCCTGATGGAATTCAATTTTATCAAATGAGGGAAAGTGAATTTCATCAAAAAATGGATGGAATTCAATTCCATTATTGGAGGGAATTGAAATTTGATCATACTATCTTCATCAATCCTTTGGTAACTTATTCATATATTGAATAAAAATATTTTTTTATTATTTCGGGTTAGATCGGGTTTCTAATTTATATATGCGGGTCGGGTCGGGTCAGGTGAAATTTTATTTTGGTCGGGTCAGATCGGGTTTTTTTAAGTGTGATATTCGGGTCGGATCGGGTTCGGGTTTAGGGTGAAAAAACCGGACCGACCAGAAAATATATATAATTCAGGTCCGGTCGGAATAAGTTACTGTTTTTATTAAATAAAAAATTTTTATTATTATTTCGGGTCGGGTCGGGTTGGATTTCTAATTCATATATTTGGGTCGGGTCGGATGAAACTTTATTTTGTTCGGGTCGGGTCGGGTTTTTTAAGTGTGATATTTGGGTCTAGTCGGGTCGGGGTTTTTTAAGTGTGATATTCGGGTCGGGTTCGGGTTTAGGGTGAAAAAAACTGGACCAACCCGAAAATATATATAATTCGGGTCGGGTCGGATTAAGTCATTGTTTTTATTAAATAAAAATATTTTTTTATTATTTCGGGTTGGGTCGGGTCGGGTCGGATCGGATGAAACTTTATTTTGTTCGGGTCGGGTTTTTAAAGTGTGATATTCGGGTCGGGTCAGGTCGGGTTCGGGTTTAAGATGAAAAAAACAAACTTAATTTTTTTCAATTAAGTCAATGTTTTTATTGAATAAAAATACTTTTTTTTATTATTTTGAGTCGTGTCGAGTCGAGTTTCTAATTCATATATTAAATAAAAATAATTTTTGGTATATTTTTTGGTAACTAATTAACATACTCTGATTGGAATGTATCGAAATATTACTCTATCTTTTAGTAACTTATTAACATATTTTGATTGCAATGATTTTAACTTATAATGTTTATTAGCATAAATTTTATAATTTATTGAAATGAATAATCAATCAATAAAATGAAAATTTAATATTTTTTAATTTTTTATAATATATTATTATATGTAAGTTGTAAAATAAACTAAAATAAAGTAAAAAAATAAGAAGGGTAATTCTGTCATTTTACATTACTAAAATCAAATTCATCTGACATGTCTGCGAACCAAACAGAATATGAAATTGGATTACCAAATAGTATATGGAATTGAATTCCAATTCCTGTAGATTCTAATTCCTTCACAGATTCCAATTCCCTCATAAACATTCGAACGAACCAAACGCCTAAGACTAACATTTGGAATAGATTCGACAACAAAATATACTTAACTTGTATTATAACGAAAACATTAATACGGATCTATCATCAAAACTTTTTAAGTAAATTTAATTAATGGTTTATAACTGTATACATTTTATATACTTTTTATAATATAATTAATATAAGATTTAAAATAATAATAAATTCAATACGTAAAAATGTTAAATTTAAAAATTAATTTATCAAAGCTTGAATTCAGATTTTAAATTATATTTTTATATAATCAAAGTATAATTTTAATTTATTTAACATAATTAATAATGTTTATATATAATTTTTAATATATAATTATAAAAATTATTTATTATATTAAAAATTATTTAAGGATTATATAAAAAATTATATAAAAATAAATATAATATATAAAAAATAAATTTTACTTAAAGAAACATGTTTGTTTCCTTTTTTTCCCCTGCCTTTAGCTATAATAAATTATATGTAAGATGTGCTTTGTTACTAATTGAGGCCTTAGCTCTGTGGTTTTGGCATGGCTATAGCAGTTATAAGTTGCTGGTTCGATGGCAGTTGTAAGTTGTTGGTTCAATCCCATCCCCCCCCCCCCCAAACACAATCACCACATGATTAGATGTAAAATAAATAATTAAAATTAATAAATATATTTCAATATAATAGTGACACGTATCACAATTTAATTGAAGATTAAATTTATTAAATTAAATTTAAATTATGACTAAATTAAAATAATGTATAAATATTAAGAATTAAATATGTAATTATATTAATTTTATTAACTGACATATCAATCCTTTCGTTAATTGTTAACGGCTAGTGATCTGATGAAATATATTTAAATAGTTGAATAGTTTGATTGATAAGAATTTAAAAATTATGATCAAAATAAAAAAGGATTATAGTTGATTAGTCTCTGGTATAGTTTACCCAGTGTTTTGAAAATCGGACCGGACCAATCGGTTCAACCGGGAATCGTTGTCTGGTTCGGTTTATTCTATACCGGTTAAACCGCTAATAGTGAACAGAAAGGAACCGTTGAACCGACTGTGAACCGTTCAAACCGGACCGGATCGTGAACCGATTGAAAACCGGTTCTGTATTTTTTCTAAAAATAATTAAATCAAACGACGTCGTTTGTTAAACGAGCCGAGTTGAACTCGAGTATTGCTAAGCTCGACTCGAACTCAAAAACTTTAAAATTAAGCTCAACTCGACTCAAAAACTCACGAGCTAAAAATTATCAAGTTCAACTCGAACTCGTAATATAATATTGAAACTTGAAATCAAAAAGACTCGAACTCAAAAAAAAAATAAGAAGCTCGATTAAAGCCTGAAATTCGAGCTCGATTGAAGCGAAAAAATAGTTCGCTCTGTGCTCACCAAAAGGCTCTATGAATTTGAATGTCAAATTACCTCTATTATTTATAAAAGTCAGTTGGAATGCTCTTCTATGTTTCTTAGCCATGTGGGATTGTTTTGTTTTCATATTTTCTCTTTAGACTTTTGTGATGCTCTTCTATGTTTCTTAGCTATGTAAGATTTTTTTTTTTTAAATTAAACCAAACGACATAGTTTATTATAATTTTTTTAGCCCCAAATTTATATTTTAATTATATTTATTATTTAATATGTTTTACCTTAAATATTATGTTGTAGTTAATTTGAATCATTTTGTTTTACTTGATTTTATAATTTTTAACTTATATAGGTTATAACTTGCTTTGAATATGACTTGTGATATAAAAAATTATTTTTTATTAAATGTTTTTTATATTTTTATTTAATTTTTTAAATAATTAATTAATTATGACGTCATTCGATTCTTTCGATCGATCTAACTGATTCAACCGATTAAACCAGTAAATCGATAACACGATCGATTTAATAACCGATCCGATTCTGAAAACCATGAATTTACCTTTATTTTAATAAATTTAAAACCCCAGCCCGACATGGCCGAGACGACTCATTTAACTCGTTGCAAAATATCTTTTCTTCCACAAGATTCCATTTTCTCTTGTTCATCACCGCCCTCTTAGCTAATTCTGCCTAGTCTCTGAGTTGGAATCGCGGGCGGATATGGCGATATCTGATGCGGTGATTGGGAATTTGATGATCATATACGTGGCGGTGATAGCGGGGATAAAGGCGTTTGGTTTAGTGTGCGGACGGAGCTTCGGTGGTGGGTTTGTGCTGATAGCGTCGAGCACAGTGGTGGGTTTGATCTTGGTCGGGACCCTGACGTGGGACGTCAGTCGTAAAGCCACGTACGCCATTTCCGGCAGTGATCATCAAGATGCCGGTTCGGTTCAAGTGCAGGAGATCTGTAAGGGTGGAATATGCTGGCACGGCGTGGCTGTTCGGTCCCCTGCTTCTCAGGTCCGGTTCAGGCTCCCCTCAACAAATTCCACGAGGTCTTTAGTGTTATCTGTAATTTTGATTGAGAGTAATAAAAAAGCATGTAAAGTTATAAAAGAAATGAAAATGAAGATGCTTTAATTTGTGAATAACGAATTCTCTTTGGGTTTTTCTCTTTACCAAACTAAGCTAAAGTGATTTTCAAGGTGGACGAATTATTAGATTAACCTGATTCATTACGTCAATCTGATTTTAATTAATAAAATTTATCTATCTCAAAATAATTTTTAAATAAGTATCTCTTCTTATTTTACATGTAAAAAAGAGAGATTTATCTTGAAAAAAATTAAAATGGATGAATTTTATTATATTAGATTACGGATGATGTAGTAAATTGGATCTACTTAATATTTTTTTCTTCAAGGAGGCTGAATTTCCCCTTACCAAATAAGAGGCAATGTATATTTGTGGAAAGTAAATTAACAAATTATCCCATACATAACAAACTATCAAATGCAGGAATTTATGGTGAACTCTTTTGGTGAAGTCTAAGGATCTCTTATGCATGTTCATGGATTTTTTATGGTGTCATCTCTAAATCAACACTAATGCATTCTTGCAATCGACATTGAATTCTCATAGATTTAATATTAACATTTGGAATCCAAGTCATATATTCCTAGTCCATGGGCATCACAACACCTACTGAAAAATTTTATGAAGCTCGTTGCTTGCTCAATTGAGCATTGGAAAACAAGTTCAGTATTAACTGAATCATTAGAATTGAATTGGGGCATGTAGGATCCTCATGCTACACTTTTCTCCTTCATGCTACACTCCTGTTGCACATTTTAAAATTAAGATTAGTTCATTCAAAAATAAAATAAAATTAAGGTTAGGGATTTAGAATTTTGGGAATTTAAGTGTTTGAGGTAACAATAAGAGCGGTGATCGATCATTAGGTGGGTGACTATTCAGTGACAAAGATGAAAGATGACAACCGAAGATGACCGACAATTGTTGAAAATGAGATTTTATGGTTTTGGATTTTTTATCAACTCAAACAAATTTGAATTTTTTAATATATTATATAATTTTAAGTTTTTTATTTTAAAATAAAATTTTTAAAATTTTATAAGTTCGACACGTGTCAGATAAAGGTCGAATTTAACGATCGTGACAGATCAGTCATCTAAAAGTATAACAGAAAAACATTAAACACTTACTTTTAACCCACAAAAAATTAGACACCTAAAATTAACTTATAGTTTAGATACTTTTTCTACATTGAACCTTTTCATTTTAATAAATGTCGTACAATACATTTTCTTTTTATATCATTTTTGTGTGTCCCCGTAATTTAATTATTTCTCTACCCTTTTGTAGACACCCGTTTTGTCCGGGTCAAGAAAAAAAAGTCAGCCGCCAACAATGACATTCCATTCGGTAGCCAAGACTTCTTGAAGCCGCCATTGTCATCACTTACGTCACCAGCAACCCAAAAAAAATCAAAGTCAAAAGTAAATCTCGAAAGATCTGGGATTTCACCATGCAACCATTATAAAAAGACCATTCGACTAAAAAAAGAGAGAGAGAAAGCATCCAAACAAGAGCAAAAAAATATAAAAATAGAGAGAAGAGAACGAGAGACTCATCACGACCGTCGGAGGCTTCAAACATCGCCGGAAAAGTCGAAACATCGAAGGTAAAAATTTAAATCTACGTCGATCTAGGGTTTTTAGAAAGAAAGGTCGCCAGATTCGACTTTAGGGTGGTGAGAGCTTCGATTTGATGTATTTTTATATTTTCTGACACCCGTTAATAATGACTGGAGGTGGCCGACAGTGGCGGCGCACGGTGGCCGGTCGTTGGCAGGTTTCCCTCCGGTGAGGGAGTTAAAGAGAAGTCAGAGCTTCTCTCTCTTAGAGAGAGAAACAAAAATGAAAAATGAGAGATGAGAGATGGGGGAGACATTTAGGCATGTTATGGGAAATAAATACCCTCCCAAAATTACGTCGTTTTGGGGAAGGACCTTTGTGTCATTTCGAAAATGGTAAAACCTCGTCCGCAGTTTCTGTAATTTGTAGTTTTTACATTTTAGTCATCAAATTTAATTTTCAGCATTTTAATTTGGATTTCAAATTTTATTATGGTTACATTTTAGTCCCTAATTTATTTTTTATTCGAATATGGCCTAGGAATTTATCCATGTTTTATTTTGGTCACTAATGTAAATTATTTTCTTTTATTTTGGTATTTTAATTTTATAATGATTTCATTTTAATCACTAATTTTGTGTGTTTGGTATTTTGTTTAATTATTGGGTGATCCTTTAACATTTTCTTCATTTTTAGAATAAAAAAATTATTTTTACTATTTCCTAATTTTTATATTTTATTTTATTTTTATTTCTTTTAGAAATTAATATTTTCTTATTTTTATTTTTCTTAATTTTTATTTATTTCTCATGTGACATTTTTTCACATTATTATTATTATTATTATCTTAAAAAATTTATTTTTAATTTAATCTTCTAAAATTTTTCTTTTTGTTTAGCATTCAATATTTTATTTTACCATCTAATATTTGTTTGATTTTTTAGTAGTAATTTCAATCGATAAAAGTTAATTCGAATTGAATTTTTAAATTTTTATTTTCGCAATTAAGACAACCAACAAATTAAATGATATCGAAAGAGCAGTTCGAGGTGCTAATTCTTCCTTGAATGTAACTGACTCCCGAACCCGTTTTAATCGAATCTTTGTAAACGCATACCAATTTTATGTCATAAAAATGATTTTTCTTAAAATTGTTTTTAAAAAGACATTTTTAGGTATTCGACCTACATAACCCAAAGGTCGATGGCGAATCTTTTCCAATTCTATCCAATTTAATTTCAAAATCCCTAAGTTTTCAAAATTAAAGTCGTAACTATTTTTAAAACAATAAATAATTGTTCCTCCGAAAAACAGTTATGATAGCTTGGCGACTCTGTTGGGGACTAGGTAAGTGAGTCAGGCTGAAATTAATTTCTAGTTGTCTTTTTGAGCGAAAATTACAAGTTTAAATTTTAATTTATTTATTCAATTTTTATTGTTTTCTTTTGATTATCTTTTCAAATAAATAGTTGTACTGACGTTTTTTCAATGATTTCAGATTTTTCAAAGTTTTCATCTCTCGCTCTATATCCGAGCTCTGAACCCTTTTAAGTGGGGGTGAAAACGACGCCTTCGTGAGAATTTATTCGCCGCACAGGCCTAGCAAGTAGCCTTCGGGATTCATATACCTTATGTCTTCGTGTGAATTTATTCACCGCACAGACATAAGGGAATGTATCCTCTCGAGTTTAACTTAGTCCACACAAGCTTGTAATGGGCTTAGGACTAAGGGTCTGAGAAGCCCAAGGGGGCACCAGCAAAGAGAACTCGGGTACCTTTTTAGAACCTAAACTGGGAGACTACAAGGAGTTAGAGCCCACTCCAAAACCTTATTTCAAACCCTAGGCTATTTTGAGTTTATTTCCTGCCTTATTTTATGTTCAAAACATGTGAACTCGAAATTTATACGGTTAGGACTTGTTCAAAATCAACTTGCGGGATAGAGATCATGTCCGGGTAGGAATGAAAGCATGTGGGGTAGGACTTTTAATTTTCATTATTTTTATATTATCCTTATCTCACTAACTTTTTTTCCTTCTATTTTTGTTCTTTTTCATTTTATTTTTATCATTTACAGCGTTGATCCACAAAAATGTGTTCGTTAAATGTAAATAGTTTGCATTAATGGACAAAGGAGTTGTAATACAAGAGGTGAAAAATACAGAGGTTCGGCTATGGTCAGGGAGACAATATGCAAGACAATTCAACCAAGAAGACGTGATACACACAATCGAAGATTATGCCACTCTGCTGCATTGTAAAGGAATCAGAATGGACCAGGATTTACACCGAGCACACCAAACGTTAACTTTTTTAGCTGGCAAAGGTTGCAGGGGCAGACGAGAAAAAGGTTACTGACCTGGAAAGTCCCTTCGAAGACGACAAGGATAAGATGGCAAAGCGATAGCTAAAACTGGAGGTCATTGTTAACGAATTCAAAAAAGAAATGGATGAACTTCGGATAGCTCCTATCGATGGAAGGCTCCAATGGCGTTTCTATTAGGGAACAGGTTCAGCAAAGGTGCAGTCATTCTATACTTTAGGAAAAAAATAGCTCGTAACTTACACGGTTTAGCGAGAGAATCCGGAGCAGTTAGACAGGGTATTCAACCAGTGACAGAAGAAGGCAGAAGATGAGTCAACCTGTCAGAAATTGTTCGGGGTCTAGAAGACTTAGTGGTTTTTTATCTCTTAAGAAATAACATTTTTTCCCAATAAAGATTATTTATAATAACATACATGTTTCCGGATCAATGCTTAGAACATTTCATGCATTTTTACATTTTGCATCTACATTTCATTTTTAAGCATTTCCATAAGTCATGGAGGATTCGATGAAGTGGTCCTAATCACGTGACACCACATGGAAACAAGATTTGAACAATTAAAGAAAAAACCGAAATCAGTACAGTGGAAGTTTGTTCAACAGGTTGTAGGATTGAGCCTTCTAGGATGATCTAAGAGAATAATTCCCTATTCCCTACGATTTATGATGTTGAAGTTGTGTTCAGTTACCACATAGGAAGCTCCAGATATTCCTCTAAGAACTGTAAGGCACTGAAGCACAAGAACCTGATGGATTCAGGGGCATGGACAATCAAAGAATGTGGTATTGCATCTACCATTTGCACTAAGAGCATTGTTTTGTTTGAACACGTTTTTTATCTTTCATAATTTCTTAATCTTTTAAACGACTAAATTTATGTAACCTTCTAAGGTGGAATAATTGAACAAATTTTAATCTTTAGTTCTTTGAATATCGAATGAATTAAGGATTCTATTAATTCTTCAAGAATTATAGATTTTTTTACATATGGAAAAATCATACCTTTCTTATCCTGTCTAAAACAAAAACAAAATCCCTCTATTCTTTACCCAGAATAATTCATGAAGATACAAAGAGTCATACAAATACCTTTGAGTCAATAAAGTCACGCCATCGTCTTTTTAGACGTAAAACCAACATTTTTTCCAATAAAACCTAAGGCATTGGGTTGTTCATTTCATCATTCTTCTAAGACACAACTTGGGGCATCTCGTAGGGAGCCTGAACATTGAGACATGTTGGGATCAAGAAGAAGAAAGAAGAATTCATTCGAAATAATTCTATCATGCATTAATTACGTTATTTTCACGTGAATATAATTAATCCTGAAAATTTATCACCCTAGGGATACCTCTTCTGTAAGGACTTTTGTGTATGATATGATGAACGAATTTGTTTCATTTATCCATATATGTATATATATATATCCTTTGTTGTCCCCTTTTGAGTCTATAGTATTTTTTTCCTCTAATTCAACCCTAACCAAGGATCACCCTCTACACTGGGGGCAAGGTGGAAGAAATTTGCTCATATGAGTGAAGACATCAATCCAGAGGAGATACCAAAAGGTAAACCAAATGCCAAGTGCGAAGATCTAATCATAACAAAAAGAGAAAAGAAGTAAAAAAGAGAAAAACAAAGAAAAAAGTGAAGTAAAAAAGAAGACAAGACACATATGCAAAGATTCTCTCTATTCAAATGACGCGTCGAGATTCAAATTATGAGATTGATCAAGCACAATCATTTCAGAATCACTTCACTTGAAGATCATGGAGAATCCAAAGAAAATCAAAAGGAACACATACGAGCATATTCAAATTAATCAAGACAGGATTGAAGGCATCAGAATAAATTGATCATTGGTTCAATACCCTAAAACACTTGTTTGGGCATATTTATCCTTTTGTTTCATAACCATGAACCATGGCCTACATTACGTACCTTAAAAGTCTCTTCAAATCATAAATGGATTTCTAAACATAAGAGACTATCTTCAGATTTCATCTCGCCCGTCAGGATTAATCTTTATTTGCAAAAACGTTTTTGTAAAATCTTTAATGCACGATAGAGAAAAATAATAAAGGGGTTCAAGATATAAATTTTGAATGATATCTTGAAACCAAAGGAGGATTCGAGTTGAAAACCTGAAAAGGCAGCTCGAATATAAAAATTATACAGTTGAGGCGATAACACAAATTCCTTGATAAGGCATCGCACAATTCGAGTGTGACCATTAAAGCTGGGAGTCGGAGAACACTTCCTGTAGATGAGCATACAAGCTACCTCATCAAACCATTAAGCATCAAATAAACAAAAATGGCATACCTTTGACCAAACACAATAACCTGAGACTTTTGTATCCTTTCCTTAACCATTTCCCAAAGATAACTTTGATCTTGACACTTGTTGAATAGCTATAATTTATTGAAGGAATAATAGTGTAATTAATTCTTTGATATCCAATGAACTCTTGTTTTATGATTCGTCAATTGTAAAACCTAAAAAAGGGCAATATTTTCTCGAAATCCTTGATTAAACATTTTTTTAAAACTCTTTTAATTGATATTTTAAGACTTTTGAAAATAAAAGAAGAAGAAAAATGTTTTTCAAACAAGATAATCTCTTTGGAGTAGATCTTGGTAGATGACATGTGGCTCTCAGACATAATGTTCATGCTTAGAATCAGTGTTGAATCAAGAAATGATGAGTGGTGGGGCATCTTTGGAGATTCAACATCGAATGTTGGGGCATCTTTGGGGATTCAACATACCGATGTGAACGATCAGATCTTCTGAAAGCCTTCCCTCTACATGCATGAACAAGCAGACAAAGAATAAGGCTCCATCTAAGAGATAAAACAAGAACTAATTCATTTTGCATACATCTTAGACATACTAAAGAGCATTGCATTTATCATTTTATTCGCATACATAATTTTTTTTTTACAGCTTTAAAGTCGAGTTTCAACATCAAGATACTGGATTCAAAAGCAATTTCAAAAATTTATGTTGGTTGCTTAACTCAGCAACGAGGTGCTATACCTCAACCAAATGACATTTTAAAAGATCGACAGATCTTAGAATCAACTTCAAACGGGTTCGAGAGCCAATTCAGAATAGATCTAGTTCAACTTAACTCCACAACGAGTGGTCAGTTTTAAGTTAACATTTTCAAGCCAGATTTCAAATCCATAACGGATGATATCCGACTGACAGCATTTATCGCTGGGCTTTCCCGTGAAGGAGAATCATCTAAAGATTTACGATCAGCTTGGGCCCGCGAAGGGGTCCATCCTTCATTTAGAGGAAATTTATAGCACAACTTAAGTTGAGAAATGCTATTTGTCAACAAACAACTTTCCAGTTTCATTTAGAGTCAAATTCAACTTCACAGCAAATGATATTGGACTCGAAGCGACGTAATTTACTCGATATTGGATTTTAACTACACGGCGAATAATATACAACTCAAAACCAATTTGGTGAAACAACCCTTGGATTTCAACTTTACAACGAAGGATATACAATTCAAAGCTCAACTTCACAATGAAAGAGCCATCCACGATTTCAACTTCACGACGAAGGATATCGTGCCCACAAGCAGCAATGCAACCCTTGGATTTTAAATTCACGACGAAGGATATCCAATTCAAAGGTCAACTTCACAACGAATGAGCCATCCACGATTTCAACTTCACGACGAAGGATATTGTGCCTAACGAATCAACTTAAATTCATCTGTGATAATAGGGATTTATTCCCCAACCAGTCCAGCATAACTCAAGGCGAGAAGGGATATCTGTCAATAAAATACATTCGAGTTCTATTACACTCAGCTCAAAGGCATATCAAATTTGCAACATAGCTCAAGGTGAGAATGCCTACCTGTTAACAAAAGACCTTCGAGTTTGATTACATTCAGCTCAAAGGCATATCAAATTTACAGCATAGCTCAAGGCAAGAAGGGTTATCTGTCAACCAAGACCTTCGAGTTCGATTACATTCAGCTCAAGGGCATGTCAAATTTACAGCTTAGCTTGAGTCGAGAAAAGCCATACAGCTTATCTTGAGTCGAGAAAAACTATCTGTCAACAAGAAATTGTCGAGTTCGATTCCATTCAGCTCGATGAATCATCAACCGCATGGTAGCAGCGAGGAACTACTTTCCGGTTGAAGTTTAAACTAAGGTATTTAAGTCAAGAGGAAGATCTAGGGTAATCTCTCAGCTTAGTACAACATAGCTCAAGGCAAGAAGAGCTATCTGTCAATGAAGACTTTCGAGTTCGATTCCATTCAACTCGAGGGCATATCGAACATAGGGTAGCATCAATAAACTACCTTCCAGAAGAATTTTCAAGCTAAGGTCTTTCAATCGAGAAGAAGACCAAGGCCCAATTCCAGGCTCAGCCTGAAGCCCAATTATAGTGTCGTTCCCCAAATCAAACACTATCAAGTTTTCAAAACCAAAAAGATAATCTGACAAAAACTAGTTGTCTTTTTCTTCTTTGCCCTATTATTGTTGACACGAGAATGTGCAAAGAGGGGTTGTTGTAGACACCCATTTTGTCCGGGTCAAGAAAAAAAGTCAGCTGCTAACAATGACATTACAGTCGGTGTCCAAGACTTCTTGAAGCCGCCATCGTCATCACTTACGTCACCAGCAACCCAAAAAAATCAAAGTCAAAAATAAATCCCAAAAGATCTGGGATTTCACTGTAACATCCCGAAATCTGAGTCAATGACTAAAATGAGAATTTTTGAAATTTAGGGATCAATTTAGGAAAATTAAAAAGTTTAAGGATTTAATAAGAATATTTCAGTGTTGGATAAAAGGTAATTATGACAGGATTATAAGGGTATTATGGTAATTTAGCTTGGAGGATATTTTTATCTCCCTTATTTAGGGAGATAACACGTGGGAAGAGAGATATCTGGAAGCTTTCTTTCTTCTTCTTGCTTTTTCTTCTTCACGTGGAGTTTAGCTACAAAAGGTAAGTTGGATTTTTATGGTTGTTTACTTGAATATTAAGTAGGTTTTGATTATTTGGGTGTTATATAAGCTTAAGTAAAGCTTATGTAAGCTTATGTAAGCTTAAAACACTAAGAGGAGAGAATTAGAAAGGAATTTCTATTAAGAGTTTAGAGATGAACTTTTTTTTATAGAAAGGTTTTTGAAGTTCTAAGGATGAATTTGACTTGTCAAAGGGTTAATTAAGAAGTTAGAGGTGATAGAATTGAATTAAAAACACATGGAAAATTTGATGAAATTCTTTGATTAAAAAATTATGGTGAATTATGAGAGATAGTGAAGTGTTATAGTGTTATAATAAGGTTTACATATGTATCGATAAGTATTAAGGTATAAGAAGGGTTTAATAAGTAGAATTTGAGGACAAAGTAAGACATTTTCGTGCTCAAAATGGAATTTCTGGGTTGTGTGCATCGATGCATCTTCAATGTGTATCGATGCACTCTCAAATAAATAAACATCGAATGCAATTAGTGCATCGATGCATAAGGAGTGCATCGATGCACCCCCTTAAAATTAAAACATCGAAGGTGATTTGTGTACCGATGCATGGGTAGTGCATCGATGCATATGTTAAGGAATGCATCGATACACTGTAGAATGTATCGATGCATTTTAATGGGAAATGGAATAAATCTTTCTTTCAGTCTAAGAAGTGATATATATTATAATATATTAATTGGATACTGCTAAGTATAAATACATGACTGTGTAGACATTGATCGAAAGCAAAGTTCGGATAAGTCGTCAGAGTAAGATTCGCAAGAAAGAACAAGAACTTGGTAGTGTTCATTGTGACTAGGTGAGTACATGATATTAAGTGTATGTTATGTTAAGGAACTAAGGCTTGCGATGAGTCTAATTATGATATTATGTGATATGAGTACTGGAGCATACACATGTAGTGATATGGTGCTAGATGTATTGTATATGAGTAAATGCATATGTCTAATTGTTGAATGCATCTTTATACGTGAATTATCTAAATGCATGTAATTATGATAATGGGTCATGTGATCATAAGATATAGGATAAAATACATGTGAAAGTAATATGATTTATATGTGTTTCTATTATAATGTTATATGATATGTTTTGTATGTGAAACGAATGTTATGTATGTGAAACAAATGTTATGTATGTGAAACGAATGTTATGAATACATGTTAGTATAATAAGTTAGGTTAAAGGTTATAATTGAATGAAGAGATTGTATAAGAACATGTATATGCAAACATATGTTATGAGATAAGAATCATGACTATGAGCTATGTGAAAAAGAATACAAGTAAAGGTGAAAAACTATGTGATAAGTGAATGTGAATTACATGGAAATATGCTATGTGAAAGTGAAATATGTGCCTATGGGAATATGTGAAAAGATATAAAAGGTAATACCCATGTCATGTGTTATGAGAGCTATAGGTATAGTTGACATGCCAAGAGTCGAGGGATTATCAGTGGTCCTTTGGGACATAGTGGTCCTTCGGGACATAGTGGTCATTCGGGACAAATTTCTACGCACCCCTAGTGGGATTTATATGAGTTGTGGTGACAACATTGTGCACAACCTCTATGTACTCACAATCTTAAGTTCTCAATAGTATGCATGAGCTTTGAAAAGAAAACATAATTTGATATAATGATACATGTGTTTCTCGTGAAATGGTACATGTGATATGTGATATGTATAAGTTATAAGTTAGGATCATATGATAATAATGGTAACAAGTGCATATGTGTAATGGTGATATAAGATGTTATATGGTTATGTATGATATGATCATAGAAATTATTCATGCATTGTTGTGTTTTGAAGTTATATTATATGTTTATGTTCAATATATGCTCATATGATGGAATTGAATTAATGACAAGGAAATAAGTAAGGATAAACATGTAAATGACGGGTTCAATAGGTATATAAGTATAATGTGTATTACATAAGATGTTCATACATTTGTTAGTTTACTTTATGTATTTACATGTCTCACTAAGTCTATGACTTAGTGTGTAGGTGTCTTACATGTAGGTGTGGTTAAGCCAGAAGATCAAGTTTCGGATCCGTAAAGCAGCATATCTCCACGCAAAGTTCAGATCAGAAATATTTTGTAAAGTATGTTTTGTCATATAATTTAGTATGTTGGCATGTAACTAAGTCATCAAATATGTATGCTCTGATGGAGTCTGTTAAGGTTTTAAACATATTTATGTAAAAGAACTACTTTATAGAATAGAAGTTTTAAATTTTCTATGGTTTTTATAAAAGTATATGCTTTGACTGGTCAATGTGATACCTCGGACTCGTATCCGGGTTAGGTACGGGTTGAGGGTGTTACATTTAATGGTATCAGAGCTAAGGTTTAGCCGATTTTAGGCTTAAACTAAAGTCAAAAGTATTTTGAAAATGAATACATGCCAGCATAAAGTGAAAGTTTATGATCTGATAGAGTCATGAGTATACTGTCTTTGAATAAAGTTTTATGGTTATGTAATAGATGTCTGATCGTGAGAGTTCACGCAGTGAAAAGAGAAGTAATAGACCTGAGGGTAGTAGCCATTCACCTGCCATGGCCAGGTATGGTGAAGAGCGAACACCTCCAGTAGTACAAGTGAGAGATCAAAGGATATTTTTTGGGACGTTAATTATTGTTTTGTAGCATTTTCAACCCTCTACGCCCTCAGCTCCTTGAATGAATATATACAAAGAATTGAAAGGTTTAGGAGCACCTGAGTTTAAGGATGAAGCTGAGGAAGATCTGGTTTCTGCGGATCTTTGATTGAACGATGTCAACATTATGTTGGATGGACTTTACTGTTCTGACGTGGAGAAATTAGATGGAATAGTTTCTTTGTTAAGGTGACAAGCTAGAATATGGTGGAAAAATGTCACAATGAGATTAAGAAGTGATCAAATGACTTGGTTATTCTTCTTGGAAGAATTCAATCATAAGTATATTGGTGACCAATATATTAGACAGATGAAGCAAGAATTTCTGAATTTAAAGCAAGGGAATTATACAGTTTATGAATACGAATGTGAGTTTAATAAGTTAAGTCGTTTTGCTGCTGAGTTTATTCCGACTGAGAAAGATGTATGTGACTGGTTTGTGGAGGATTTACGCCAGAGAGTTGTTGATAGCCTTGAATTTGTCATCGTTTCAAGAAGTGGTTAATCGAGCTAAAGCTATAGAGAGAACTCAGAATGAAAGATTTAAAGAACATAAATTTCAGAAGTCCAAAAGAATGGGTGCTTCGTCAAGTTCTTTGCCATCAAAGAAAAATAAAGAATAGGATTCTCCAACTCAGGATATGTGGAAATCATATGTTTTTACTGATAGAATATCAAATCTCAGTCAAGTCAGACAATGTTCATATTGTGGAAAGAATCATACAAGAGTTTGTAGAGTGATCTCATGAGCTTGTTTTAGATGTGGGGATATTAGATATTTTATTTGAGATTGTCCATTTATGACTGAAGAGACGATACAGAGAGAAAGATCTACTACGATATCTTAACGAAATAGAGGTAGAGGTTGTAGAAGAAATCGATCGGAGTCATTCACTCAACATGATATGCAACCAACTGCCCAAGTTTATAATTTAAGGACTGATGAAGATTTCGATGACCTAGAGATTTTGGCAGGTAAATTTCGATATCGTGGTAAAATAGTTTGGTTTTAATATATTTGGGAATCATCATAGTATTTAGTAAGTGGTATTTAGAAAGATAATTGGAAGATTTGATTAGAAGCAAGAAATAATGAATTGTTAAGAATTAATAGTATATGGTTTCCAAGTAAATAAGTTATATGAAGGTTGTTTATGGAATAAGTAAGAAAGATATATATATATATATATATATATATATATATATATTGAGTATTGAATGAGAACTGTATATGAGTACAAGGTTAATAGCAAGGGTAAGATAAGAATTGTTGAGTATTATAATGGATTGCTTCATTTGAGGTAAAGTGAAAATTCGAGGACGAATTTTCTTTAAAAGAGGGGGAGATTTGTAACATCCTGAAATCTGGGTCAGTGACTAAAATAAGAATTTTTTAAATTTGGGGATCAATTTAGGAAAATTGAAAAGTTTAAGGATTTAATAAGAATATTTTAGTGTTGGATAAAAGGGTAATTATGAAAGGATTATAAGGGTATTATGGTAATTTAGCTTGGAGGATATTTTTATCTCCCTTATTTAGGGAGATAACACTTGGAAAGAGAGATATCTGAAAGCTTTCTTTCTTCTTCTTGCTTTCTCTTCTTCACGTGGAGTTTAGCTACAAAAGGTAAGTTGTATTTTTATGGTTGTTTACTTGAATATTAAGTAGGTTTTGATTATTTGGGTGTGATATAAGCTTAAGTAAAGCTTATGTAACTTAAAACACTAAGATGAGATAATTAAAAAGGAATTTCTATTAAGAGTTTAGAAATGAACTTTTGTTATAGAAAAGTTTTTGAAGTTCTAAGGATGGATTTGACTTGTCAAATGGTTAATTAAGAAGTTAGAGGTGATAGAATTGAATTAAGAACACATGGAAAATTTGATGAAATTCTTTGATTCAAGAATTATGGTGAATTATGAGAGATGGTGAAGTGTTATAGTGTTATAAGAAGGTTTACATATGTATAGATAATTTTTAAGGTATAAGAAGGGGTTAATAAGTAGAATTTGAGGACAAAGTAAGACATTTTCGTGCTCAAAATGGAATTTCTAGGTTGTGTGCATCGATACATCTTCAATGTATATCGATGCACTCTCAAATAAATAAACATCGAATGCAATTAGTGCATCGATGCATAAGGAGTGCATCGATGCACCCCTTTAAAATAAAACATCAAAGGTGATTTGTGTCCGATGCATGGGTAGTGCATCGATGCACATGTTAAGGAATGCATCGATGCACTGTAGAATGTATCGATGCACTTCAATGGGAAATAGAATAAATTTTTCTTTCAGTCTAAGAAGTGGTAGATTATAGTATATTAATTGGATACTGAGAAGCAAAAATGAAAAATGAGAGATGGGGGAGGCATTTAGGCATGTTATGGGATATAAATACCCTCCTCAAAACTACGTCGTTTTGAGGAAGAACCTTTGTGTCATTTTGAAAATGGTCAAACCTCGTCCGCATTTCCTGTAATTTGTTATTTTTACATTTTAGTCATCAAATTTAATTTTCAACATTTTAATTTGGATTTCAAATTTTATTATGGTTACATTTTAGTCCCTAATTTATGTTTTATTTGAATATGGCCTAGGAATTTTTGCATGTTTTATTTTGGTCACTAATGTAAATTATTTTCTTTTATTTTGGTCTTTTAATTTATAATGATTTCTTTTTAATTACTAATTTTGTGTGTTTGGTATTTTGTTTAATTACTGGGTGATCCTTTACCATTTTCTTCATTTTTAGAATAAAAAATTATTGTTATTATTTCCTAATGTTTATATTTTTATTTTATTTTTATTTCTTTTAGAAATTAATATTTTCTTATTTTTTATTTATTTCTCTTGTGACATTTTTTCACATTATTATTATTATTTTTATCTTAATAAATTTTTATTTTTAATTTATTCTTCTAAAAATTTTCTTTTTGTTTAGCATTCAATATTTTATTTTACCATCTAATATTTTGTTTGATTTTTTAGTAGTAATTTCAATCGATTAAAGGTAAGTAATTCGAATTGAATTTTTAAATTTCAATTTATATTTTAATTTTCACAATTAAGACAACCGACAAATTAAATGGTATCGAAAGGGCAGTTCAAGGGTTCTAATCCTTCCTTGACTGTAACCGACTTCCGAACCCGTTTTAATTGAATCTTTGTAAACGCAACCAATTTTATGTCTTAAAAATAATTTTTCTTAAAATTGTTTTTAAAAAGACATTTTTAGGTATTCGACCTACCTAATCCAAAGGTCGATGACGACTCTTTTCCAATTCTATCCAATTTAATTTCAAAATCCCTAATTTTTTAAATTAAAGTCTTAACTATTTTTTAAAACAATAAATAATTGTTCCACCTAAAAACAGTTATGACACATTTGTATAATGTCCTAAGTTTATAAGTTAACGCATTAGGATTGACGCGAGAGGTATATGAACCTATGTGAGTTGGTAATTAGAACTGCTATGCTGAAGGTGACTTTAGATGAAATTTGAATTACATTGACCATAATAAAAAGAGGATATTTTAAATACAAGACAAATGTGAGATGGCCAAAAGAACAATTGAACCACTTATGAAAATTAAGCTGATTTCTTGAAATTTTGTTGGAGACAGAACATGGTATACTATGGGTAGAAGTTGAATGGCTTTTACTTCCTCAACTTCTCACATTATTTTTCTTCTTTGCTTCTTCATAGCTCGAAGATAGGTGGTAAGAGCTTATTTCATAATTCTTATAGACTTTATGTAATACTTTTAAAATCAATCCAATAGTTTTTTTTTATTTTAATTACCAGAATTTACTTTTCGATACTCGAATTAAAATTTTCAACCATTAAGTCTAAATTTTTAAAATAATCTTAAACCATTAAAGTCTATTTTTTTCTCGAAGCTTTTTGATTAAGGAATAATTTGTAAGAATTCTGAGTTCTGAATTCTGAATTCTGAATTCTGAATTCAGTAGCTTGGAGTGCAAGCAAAGTTTTGTAACTTTTTCAAGTGCATGTAGAAACCTAAGGATTAATAATTTAATTGCCCAAATTCTCTAATGGCGACGCTTGTTGAAGATGCATCGAGGGCTCTAGCGGCGACGCTTGTTGAAGATGCATTAGCGTCGAAAGACTCAGCTAGTAGAGCAGAAAACAAGAAGAATAAGCAGGGAAACGAAACAAGCATGGCGTTGAAACTCATTCACAAAGCAAGTGGGTATGCCATTGAAGCAAATGAATGGGTATGAGCTTTTGAGAGAAACAAAGATCCACAGTTGAAAAAGGAGAGAATAGGGTAACTTGTAGAAGAAGCCATGAAAGCGAGAAACAAATACACAAAAGAAAGAAGAAAAAATGCTGGAAATCGTAGCAAAAATCCTTAAAATTGATTGAAAGATAACACCAAATCTAAATCATAAATATGGGAAATTGAAGGAGAAAATACTTTCAATTTTTTTTAGAAGAAACACTCTACTGTCTTCTTATATCAATGCAATGCACACTGTGACAAATAGAAGAGAAGAACAAAGGTTAAAGAGAAGAGAGTTTTTTTAGGGTAAAGTATAAATAGTCCCCAAACTTTTAGGCCAAATCTTGGAGATGAAAGGGCATGAGTTAACCAGGAGGAGGAGGAGGAGAGGAGATAATGACGGAAAAAACTAACGGGAGGTAACTGTAGGAACCTTACTGAAAATGAACTAAAAGTCTGATGATTGTATTGCAAGTTTCAAAAGTTTGGTGACCAAAATGCAAGCTCCCTAAAAGTTCAAGGACTATTTATATACTTTACCCCTATTATTAATTTTAACCTTCATGGTAACTTCTTTATAATTTTTAAGGCTTTGAAACGCCCAAGCTTAATTTATTAAATTTAGGCTTTCCGAATCCATATACTGAATTTGATGAAGTCTATATTTAATTTTATTTTAGACAAAGACTTAGTTGAACGAACTTCTAATCGGAAAGGAAAATCAAAAGCTTCCGAGAGTAGTGTGATAATTTGATATGTATTCATTTGGGCTCATATAGGCAGTTGATACATATATTCTCAATTTTCATGATTTTCCATTAGTATTATTATCATTTGGTTCAATAGCCTGCAAAGTCTTGACTTTTTATTGTCTTATAATTTGGTCCTTAAACTTCCATTTTTCACTTTACAATTTTCAATTTAATTTCAAACTAAACTATCATTTAATCAAAAAAATTAATAAAATATAGCATACTTCTCAATGATTTAGAATTTATATTTTAATTCAAAATAATAAATTTTTTTTTATAGTTGAACTTGAAAAAATCGGTTCGAAAATTCAAGAGTGTTACAAACATGTTGAAAATAGAATTTATCAAATCAATTATATGTTTAATCAAATATCAATATGAGGATCCATACTTGTAATTTTCTATAGGTTAAAGCAACTTTTAGTCTCTGAATTCGATAACGGTTTTCAAGGAGTCCATGAATTTTATTTTGGTCCATATTAGTCTATGAACTTTTTTATTTACATTGATCCTTGAAGTTGAATTTTGGCCTATTTTTAGTCCTTTTAATGATATGACATATCGAGATTGTGCCATGCAGACAACATAAAAACAAGCTAAAAATCCAAGTTCAAAAATCAATGTAGAAAAAGATTTAAGGACCAAGTTAAAAATGTTACCAAATTTAAAGACTAAAGGTTGTTTTATCCCTTTCCTATTCAATGTAAAAGCTGTTTCTTAAGATTTATTTTTGATCTCATATTCAATGCCAAAGTTAAACACCCTTGGTCTGCTTTGAGTTATTGCAAGCGGTAGCGCTACTTATGAAAGTGTTCCAAGCTAGACCTTACCAGTGATCAGGCTCTCAGGCTAGGTAAAATTAAACAAGTAGACCGTCTATATATTTCTCTCGGGGTTCAAACGTTATCCCAAAGTGTCAGTCAATTACGTTTGCAGACTTCTCCATATTCCAACTTTTCATGTTTTTTGAAGTAGATTTTTTCCCCTTTTTATGTTCATTAACTAGCCTTCACCAAATAAGACAAGGGTGTTCTAAGCTTGTTGCACGTATTTGTTGGAAGTTGACAAACCCTATTTAGGCTTTATCATTAAAATCGATGGAAGCCTATTGCTGTGCCGACTCTTCTTCCTGGATCCTAATGCCTCCATCAACTGGCATTTAATTATGTTGCAGATTAAATTGTCCCCTGTTATTGAGGTGTCTATAAGATGAGAAAACCGGTCTGCCAAATAATTCATAAGATGGTGTCGATAAGAACCCGGTCCAGACCACTGACAGACATCGACCAGATTGGCCAATAAATGCAAAGGTTGATTCTTAGTAGTGAAACAAGGTGATCACAGAAATTTAATTTTTTCTATTGTTTAAATAATTAAAGTTTGTCTTTGATGTAATAAGTTTTATATATTTAAAATGATGATATAACACACTTTACATATACATAAGATATGATGTGCCATATGACACATGTTTAAAGTGATCATGACATAGAATATGCCACATGTACAAAGTATTGATGTGTCATATGCTACATCTTCATTTGGAACACATAAAAATTGTCACGTTAACCGCAAACAATTAGTAATTCGTCCAATTAGAAAATATTTTACCTCAAAATAAAATATTAAAATTAAATTACTTCAAAAATAAAAAAATATAGATTAATATGATTGTTTTAACAAATATCAAAAATGAAATTTAACATTATGTTAAAGAAACTAGGTGACACTTTTGAGTGATGAAAATAAAGTATTTGATAAGAAAGAAACAGGTAGTTAGATGAATGAATAGAAATGCTATTATTCAGCCCTTTCCAATGACCAAACTTGCAATTCTCCAATCTTTGATTCTTCTTCCTCTCCTCTCCTCTTATAAAGTCCGACTCTTTCACGTCCCGATTGAGTGAATCTCTCTCTCTTTCTGACCCCGTCAGTTGTGTGACTTGCTGTCACAAAATCTGCATGTGTACGTCGTCGTTTACGGCCACCTTTCTAACTCTCTTTTTGGATTTGACTAAAGACCAGGAAGAGATAAGGAGAGAGTCCTAAGCACTCTCTAACTCTCTCTGTTCCACTTCCTTATTTAGTTCCTTAACCAAACACAATAAAGAAAATCCATATAAATACGTCAGTCCAAAAGCACATCATATTATGTCCACAAAATGGACCTTCCATTAATAAGTCGAATCAAATATAATAAAAAATATATTGTTTTTAAAGCTTTTGTAGATTTCCCTGCTCTACTTATAACCATCCACGGGCTTGTTTCATCATGATGGTCTATTTCAGTTAAACCGATAGCAACAAAGAAGGCAGAGGTTATGCCTATTAAGAAACCTAAGATAGACCGATAAATTGGGTCATGTCATGCATCTCTTCTGATTTTTACGGAAAGCCTCAGCCTTCCCACCTTTCAACAGAACCCCATTTCCCTTCTCATTTTCTTATTAATACTCCTCTTCTTCAAAGCGTTTATGTGATTTTTTTATAGTTGTTGTTATGGCTGTTCAAGCGCAGTTGTACCCTGAAAACTTGGGTTTATCTTTGCCCATTTGCGGCCTTCAGGATTGCATGTCAACCCCTGCACCATTTGATGCTGATTTTTGTTACCCTCCTCAACAGATGATGATTCCTTCCCATCTGGACCAAAACGCTCAGAACTTTGCTTCTTCTTCGTCGTCAATGTGTGATGGCTTTCTCTCCATGGCACTTTCTCAGTCTTTAGTTGCTCAATCGGAGGTGCAAAGTCAGGAACTTGATTTCATTCTTCATTTGCAGGCAATATTCTCTTTCTTTAAAATTTTCATTTTTTTCTTGTTTTGAGGAATTGACCATTTTTGCTGGTTTTTATTTTACTGAAAATGTCACCATCTTGAAACAGAATGAGAGGCTAAAATCTGTCCTACGAGAACAAAGGAGGCGGCAGCTGGCGACCTTGATAAACGTCATGGAATCGAAGGCTTTGCATTTGATGAGGCGTAAAGAAGAAGACTTGGCACGAGCAACAAAGAAAACACTGGAGCTCGAAGCCTGCCTCAAGAAAGTGGAAATGGAGAGCGAGTCATGGGAAAGACTGGCGAAAGCAAACGAAGCAATGGCGTTGGATCTAAGCAACGCAGTGGAGCGGGTCAAAGAGGGACTAATCATGGTCAGCAATGCAGCCGAAGATGCCGAGTCCCTTTGCCGTGGCTCGTGTGATGATCAACAGGAAGTGAAAGAAGAGAGCAGTAAAAAGATTGCTTGCCCCTGCAAACACTGCAATTCTAGGAGCTCGTGCGTTCTCTTCCTACCTTGCAGGCACCTTTGCTCGTGCATGTCTTGTGAAGCTTTTCTTGATTCTTGTCCCGTTTGTAAAGCTGTAAAGGAGGCGAGCATGAAGGTTTTTTGGGTCTAACATTAAGCAAAGAAAAAGAAAATGGTCAGTGATTCATGTACTGTCATCATGGTGTTTTCGGGTATATGTTGACAGATTTCCTATCTTGTTTTTTTTGTTAGACGCAAAAAGAAAAAAAATCTTTTTTTACCTTTTCCGGGTTAATTAACATTTTACACCAACTCGATTTTATTTTTTTCTTTATCCAAAGAATTATCATATCCATTGAAGAAGTTATCCCCTCCACAACAAAATGTAGGGAGCAGGGAATGAATAATTCACGTTTCCACGCAACTCGTTCGAATACTCCGAAACTGTGATGAAGGAACAAATTTGAGTGTTGAGAAAGTTTGACCAAAACCTGCAAATCAGTTTCGGCTTTGTTTTCTTGCTAATGTTAGCACTAATGATACGTACCACAAACCCCATAAATTATTTAATGATTCCAACTCACTAAGCAGATTAATAATACCTATTCATTTTAAAATAATTTTTAAATAACTGTCAACCTTTTATTTTCACGTAGAAAAAATAAAAAATTCAACTCAAAAAAAAATGAGCCGATTCCATCCAATATTTTTTTCCGCAAACCCAAATGCTCTCAACTTTTTCAGTGTGTTAAGGTTGATATGAGCGGGCCCTACAACGTGTTTTAAGATTAGAGAAAGAGCCGTTTCGAATCTGAAAGGAGATGGTGATAAATAAGCTAATGAACAGTGCCGGTGACAAAACAATCGATGCAAAATCAATGTAAAATAAATTATATATAACCACTTTAATTTTTGTTTATATCTATGGAAAAAGAATAGTAATTTATTATAAATAAAAAGATTACTAATAATATAAATATATAAAATTTAATATATATATATATATATATATCTCTTAAAAATTTGATTTATTTTAAAATATTTATAAAATTATCTATACAATTTAGTATAAATTGTAATAATTAGAGAGTAAAAATAATAAATATAAAGATCATAAATAATATAAATATATAAAATTTGATGTATCTTAAAAACTGGTATACATCTCAAAAAATCGATTTATCTAAAATTTTTATAAAATTCATTTATACGACTATAATAATTATAGAGATAAAAAATTATATATCTTTAAAATATTTCTCTCATATAATTTTAAAAATTAAAATTTACTATATAATTATGGAGAAAATAAATTTGGCCATCAATAATACTTACCCATAATTTTTTATCTAAATAAATCTAATTACTAAATTACCTACAAACATTATAATTACAATAAAATTTAATTTATTTATCAATTTGAATTTAAGTCAATATGTAACAATCTTTCCTTTCAAACAAATTATATTCCGCCATTACTCTTCAACAATTTTAATTCTCACAATCAAGTCTTCAACTACTATCACTAACAAAACTTCAACAAAATCTACTATTGCTTACAGGATCTACACAAATCTACAACAATAAATTTCTTCAAAATTTGAATAACTGCTAAAATTCTCATCATCACGTCTCAAACCATGGCGATCACTTGTTAGAAAGTTGTAAATGAAAAAAATAATCAACACAATATCAACATAAAATAGATCATATACTAGAGATATTATTTAACTAGTTCAATCTTAACTTCATCAATATATGAGAAAAATAATAATTTACTATGATCATGGAGAATACAAAGAGAAATTATATATGAATTCATTTTATCTGAGAAGTGAAAATAGATGGTTGAGATTAACATTAGGAAATGAGAAAATATTCATTGGGGGAAAAATAAGGAGTTAATCTCAGTCATTTATTTTCACTCATCCAACGGTCTTAAATCTGTGTAAAACTAAGGAGTTTTACATTGTGTAAATGAATATTAACTATATATATATATTTGGCACATTAGATAGAAACAACTACGACTGCATCATAGGCACTCTCAATGTGGCTTTCCCTTCAGCATCCATCCATAGCAGCGGAATCACCTTCGTTGGAGGATTCATTAGTATATATGCCCTTTCCTCACTTTCCGAAACTATCCTAGCAACGCGATCAACGCATTTCTTTTCTTCGCAACAGATATGTCTAATCTCTAACACCCATCCTTCCTGACATAATTTCTCGTAATCCATAAGAAGAACATCTTAGCATTCCTCTGCATCTTCTTTGTTTAGTGCTTCCACCACCCATTTTGCGTACAATTCGACAATTAATTTTCCTCACACCCAAGGATTTCACGAGAATGAAACCTTGCCTGACCCATTAAATTTCAACAGTGTGACTATCTATTCTCCCTATTTGTATCATGAAGCCCCTTTTCCAGTCACCCTTCTCATCATGGATTAAGCTACCGGTCACAGCAAGCCCAGAGATCCCTTTACAAGCGTCGTCAGTGTTGAGTATCCATGTTCTTTCAGGTGGTTTCATCCACCTCACCCAGTGTGGCTCTTTGGTAATGCTTTTATGCGTATTTTCCATAGCTTTCTTTATGTCTTTTGCTAATTTGTGGTTGTATTGGATGATAAGATTTGGGTTTTTGCTTTTGTTATGAAATATAATGCCATTCTTGATTTTCCATATTCTCTAAAGCGTAGTCAAAAATAAAGTTTCCCAACTACTTCGTTATCACAAGATTTGTTCGAGCGATAATTCCTTCTTCATCAATATGTAAACTCCCTGAAATCAATTTGGTTGTATTTCTGTTGTGCCTTTGGTTCCTCTCAGACGAGTTTTGCAGTGAATCACTCTCTCATAATGTGGTTTAGCGATTATGTTGCGTTATTACACTTCTTGCAATTCACATCTTGAGTCATTCTCTTTTTAGCCCTAACTTCATTCGTGTTGAGTTTGTTCAAGCTACATAACCAAATGAAGAAATGAATTCATTATGTGGTATCAATTCTCCAAATTCAGTCGAATATTGACAACACGTCGTTCTGATGTCAAATAAAATTTAGCCTTAATCTCAAATAAAAGAATATGAAAGATAGTGCTTCATGTGTGATTTAGTGGGAAGAGTAAAAAAAAAAAAAGGAGGTTTTCAAAGTTGAAGTAAAAGTAATCTTTGGTTCAAACAAAGTAAAGAAAGTAAATTGAGAAAATTAAAGTAAAAATCCAATTGATAAAAATCAGCCTTGGGCTAAAGCTTCTGCCTCAATTCAAATCGATCATTGAATAGGATTTTACCTTAGGGCTCACGCCGCTTACAGTCAACAGAGCCCAACCCCTCTAACTTCTTATTCTCTCAAATGAATCGAGCATCTAAAATCAATTTTTAGATCCCAACCCTTTGTGAATTAATAGCAACAATCGTTTACCAAATCAACACCTTTAAATTCTGGAAAAACCCTACTCGGATTGTACCATCTCAATCGAGAATCTAACCCGATTTCAGTTTCCCTTAGTGGACCGCCGCTAAGTGTGTTCACAGGAAGTTTAATGTGCCACAAGTCGATCCTTCTTCCCAACTGTTAACCGAAACTCAAATTCAATTCCAATATGCACTTTTTGAAATGAAATCACTTTGATTGCAAAAGGATGGTCGATTATCGATCCTTGATTTCCAAAAACTGAAAATGTAACCCTTAAGGGTATGATGTGCTTTTCGATTCCTAAGATTTAGAATCAAGTCATTGCTTTAGCCTTTGGCTATGGAAAACTGAGCTAAACATGATTGAACTCATGTTTAGCATTTAAAAGAAAGTAAATTAAAAAACTTGAAAGGAAAATAAAACGAAAGAATAACTTTTATAAAACTTAAAGAAAGAAAGAAACAAGAGTTGAATAATGAATTCTGAATATATCCTTGAGGCTTACCCCAATGGTGTATTTATAATCCTAAAAAAACCCTAAAAGATAACATTCAAATTAAAAAAGATAATTGCTAAAAATAAAAAAAAAAATCCTAATTTGAATTTGAAAAATGTGGTTGAGTCTCTTGCTCCCACCAAGTTGCGGACTGGACCTTCTAGAAGCTGCTGTATGGATGCCACATCAGCAAAGTCATGCCCCATGTCATTCCTACTAATCCAGTCATGACTCTAGAAAATCAAAAATTACACAATTTCATCTTTTTTAGCAACATTTCTGGAATCTACTGTCCTGCATTGAAAATGAATGTAAAGGGCCAAGTTAGCAACTTAAAATAGCTAATCAAAGAGTAATTAACCACAAAATAATACGTAATTTAAGCACTAATCAAATTCCCCCTCACTTATTCAATATTTGTCCTCAAGCATTTCTCAACTATCATGCCAAAAATCTCAAGTTACCAACTCCAATTTCATAGAACTTCTAAGGTTTCTAAGCAAACTCAATCAAGTAAATGTTGAAATTCAAGATCAATCAAGCAATCATAATCAATTAAGTGTAAATCAACCATGGCATTTCAATCAACCATCAATCTTAAAGAATACAATACTTAGTTCCTCACAAGGGTCCACTCATTTCGCTCAAGTGTTTCAGGTGGAGGAATCGTTCAAGCCTAAACCAATCGACACATCACCATAGGCTTGCAACTAAATCTAATCTCCACTACTTAATATGAAAATGATGCAATAATCAAGAGGTCTTTAAAATGGGTTGTAACGGGGCTAAGGTTTGGGTAGGATAAAGGACGCTAATGGGGTTTAAAAAATTCAAGACAAAGTAGAGACTATTCCGAAAAATTATTCAAAGTAAAAAATGAAAGATAGAGGAAATGAGAAATTAAACAAAGCTTTATTCTCTCTCTCTCTCTTTTATTTTTCAATTTTTTATGTGTTTTAAAAAATTTCTACTGGTTATTTGCTGCTCGAATCTTCTCTATTTTTTTCTGCAATGTATTTTCTACTCATTTGAATCAAAACTTCACAATTCAAATTTTTTTGCACTGTTCCAACCAAACTGCATTTTTTTCTTGTTGATCGAACAATATAATTTATGGACCGTTTTGTTCTATTCTGCGTTGTTTCAAACAAATTTTTGGGTTTTTTTTGGAATAAACTCACCTTTGTCCTGAAAAAAAGTAACAAAAAGAGGGAAAAATAAAATAGAATCGGGTTTAAAAAAATGTGGTAAATCAAAGAAAAGGATAAGGCTAAAAATGGTTCACTAAGGGGAAAATAAAAAGGGTAGGATTTTTTGTTTGGGAAGAGAAATGAGTTTAATCCTAATGCCTCTATCACATTAAATCATCATAATCAAAATGTGTATTCTCAACAAGCATCGAGTTACAAGTTTCAGAATGCAATCAATTGGTTCAATACACTCAATTGAAACAAAGAGCAAGAATATAAAATATATGATCATTAAGGTCAAAACTCACATGAAAGATTTATTGAACTAAGTCATGCAACTAATTCAATCAACAAATTCATGAAATTACCACGAAAAAATTACATAAACTAGTCATGCCATGCTATATTGAATCCTAAACTCAACAAGAACAAGATTGAATTCACAAAGAAACATAAGAAATTAAATTAAACCAGAGATCAACAACCAAAATTATCAATAATTCTAATCAAGAAATAACTCAATTTCAATTACAAAGAATAAGCAAGAGTTGTTTGATTTCTAATTCCACCCCTCACATAAAATAATATTTCCCCAATATGAAAAAAATAAAATGTGAAAGAGAGAGAGTGAAAATACTCTCCTATTAGTGTCGGCCTCAACCATGACCACATCGAGAAAGGCTCGGGCGAAGGTAGAAAAGTATCTCGGCAATGTTGGTCTTGATGGAGTCAAGCCGACCATGCACCTCATGGATTTAACTATGCACGTCCGAATGTGGGTGCTCCTCTGGTGCCACGGGTTGTGTAGTCCTCCAAAGAAATACAAGTTCATTGCATAGGGTAATCGTGCCAGGAGGGACAATGTGCGGCACATCGAGAGTTCCAACCAGATGTCCCATCGAATTGAAGTACCTAACATCCAACGGATCCATTGAAAATGCATAAGTAAATTGATTAGAATCAAACACCAATGGAAATACTGAGACGTAAGGCAAGTTATGTAAGGATCAAGAATTAATGGGTGATCAGAACGCACAACACGTCAAAAGCGTGTGCGAATAAAAAACCCAAGTTTTTCTTTACACCAGTTTGCATACACCATAAGAAAAATAATTCAACCTTACTCAGGAAAGATGCAGTGTCATTACACCCGTAATAGTCTATGCAAGGAACTGATGTATGTAGCAGATAGCGGGGTCATTAATGTGCCATCCCTTGGTGGTGCGCACATTGTAGGTAGCACCAGACGAATTAGTAAGTCCTTTATAAGCCACATCTACATGAAGTCATGCGGAATCTCACATAAAGTGGTTAGAAAATCATGGTCTGCGACATCCGTTACGAACCCCATAGAAATATTAAAATCTGCTAGGGAGTATATAAAATGTTGCCCAAGTAATCTAAAAGAAATCACACCTAGTGTTGCATTAGACATGATACAATTTGGTAAAAATGTAAAAGTCGTATAAAGTTCAAATACCAATTCGTATTAAGTAGCATATCTAATTTCAGAATAAGAACACCAACCAATCGTATCAAAATAATTCATGATAGAATCACTCAAATGTAAGGAATCAAGAGTGCGATCATGAATATACTTACAAACTTAGAACTTACGATGCCATATACTATTAAATCGCCAAGCCTCTTCATCATCGAAATCGAGATAACCTTGAAGTACTTCCTCGGCTGGTACAGAGAATGTGTGCCCTCTTCGATGACGCTCGCGATAATGGTCGTTGTCAGGTGCATGATCATCATGGGTAGATGCTTCCTCGTAACTCGTGACAAACAATGGTGAACGAGGGTGTTGGTCGTAGGTTTGGAGAGAGGAATACGTCGGCTAGGGCTTGGTTGTAGTGGCGAATTCTGACATCCGAAAGCAAAGTCATATGAAAAACCATAAATGGGGTGCGCATTACTAATAGATCAATATCAACAGGATTAGAGTTTAGCTCAGGTTGTTCGGGCACTACAAAATGAGTTACGAATGAATGAGCCGCATCCGACATCGATTGTGAAGCGGACGACATCGAATAGAATGTGGGAGTGGCCGTCTAAGAAGGGCAGTTCTACCCCAGTTTGGATGGACCGGTAGAACCTTACGGTGGCACCATAAAATCATATGATGAGAGATTGACAGAAGCAAATGGCATCAGCTCGGGTGTGGTCGAGCGAGCGTGCAACTATTGTGCACGTCTCTTTCCACGTTGAGCTAATGGTCGAGGCACGTGGCCGGGTTGTGACAGCGAGTCAGAGCTGCTCGAAAAATAGATCACCGGGGGCACAGTGAAACAACATCAGCCACCATCGAGATTAACCAGTGGGTGAGATGGATTTTTTGATTGATTTCTCATTCTCAGCATGACTCTTAATTGGCTAAGGAAGAAAAGAAATGAAGTGCAACAACCAAACGACGTGTTTGGCGGTGGAGCGCAATCGACGATGAGAAGTCGATCAAAGCAAAGGCGGCGGTACAAAGGAAATCGGTGAGGCAGCGATGGCATTTTTGGAGGCTTATTTCTTTTGCTTTGTATCATGAAGGAGAAGAGGATAAAGGGTTCATCCGATTAAAACAATATAAAAGAAAATAGGCTGAAAGTTTATTTATCACGTGTGTTAGGGTTCAAGATTGAAGGAGTTTAATTTAGTGTAGGGTTTTGGTGATAAGGTGAACATATTATTTAAGTTTAAAATGGGAGTGATAAGGGAAAGGATTTATCAAATCAAAAAGAATGTGATGAGAATTGGTCACTAGGGCGGTCGAAACTCGTAAAATTTGGGGAGCGGATTTTGAGGGGTGTTGGGTGGAAAGGGACAAATTTGGGATTTGGGTTGTGCTAACATGCATCGTTTCACACTTGCTGCTAATGTACACCGAACTCCCTTGCTTTAATGATACGATGCGCTTATTTGGCTGCTGCAATTCACAATTTTTGCTCCAAAATTGTCCGATCTTATTAAATGCTCACGGCACCTATAAAATTCAAATTAGGAATTAAAAAACATAAAATCAAGGAACAGAAATGACAAAGGAAAATTGAAAACTAAACATTGAAAATAAATCAAAAGAAACAAATTAAAAGATAACGAAATGAATTATCTCCCATCAAGCGTTATTGTTTAACGTCATTAGCTCGACGATCCAATTTTCAAAGCATGAGTTCTTCTAATTCAATATCCTCGACTAATCTGATTGAAGCGTTTTCATAATACGTATTCAATCTTTGGCTGTTCACTTTAAATCGAGCTCTCGAATTGTATTCTATCTCCACTAAGCCATGAGGAAAAATTTGAGTCATCATCAATGGTTCGAGCCACTTTGATCGAATCTTACCTACAAAAAACTTAAGTTTAGATTTGAATAACAAAACCTTTTGATTAACATTAAACAATTTAAAATATATTCTTCGTTCATGGAAATCTTTAGTCTTATCTTTAAATATTTGAGTGCTATCGTAAGCGTTTCTATGGATTTCTTCCAACTCTTGAATCTGTAGCTTTCTGTGCTTCCCCGATCGCTTCCATTTCCATTTTGCATTACTTCCCTGCCCAATAAGCTCGATGTTCAAGTTCAACTGAAAAATGACATGATTTACCAAAAACTAGGCGGTATGGAGACATTCCAATGGGCCCTTTGTAAGTGGTCTGATAAGCCTAAAGTGCATCGGGTAATTATAAGCTCTAATATGTCCAATCTGGCTTGACAATTTTCACTAGAATAACTTTTACTTAGCGATTTGACACTTTTGCTTGCCCATTTGTTTGCGGGTGGTAGGCCGTGGTAATTGTTTACATCACGCCAAGCTTCTTTATGTGTGCCTCAATAATCCGATTGATGAAATGAGTTCCTCTGTCACCAATGACCGCCCTTGGTGTGCCAAACCTAGAGAAAATATTTTTTTAGAAAATTCACAGTTGTTCTCGCATCATTATTATGGGTTGCTTTAGCTTCAACCCACTTAGAAACGTAGTTAACAGCTACAATAATATAAGTATTACCAAATGATGAAACAAAAGGACCCATATAATCAAGACCCCATACTTCAAAAATTTCACAGATATTGATCGAATTTAAAGGCATTTCATTTCTATTACTTAGATTATCTGTTCGTTGACACTTTTCACATGATTTGCAATAAAAGTAAGCATTTTTAAATATATTCAGCCAAATTAAATCGTATTCTAAAATCTTGTGAGCAGTTTGATTCGGTCCAAAATGATCACCATACGAATATGAATGAAAAAAATTAAGGATCAAATTTACCTCTTCTTCGATAACTCATCGCTGGATTACCTAATCGGAGCAGTGTTTCTAAAGATAAGGGTCATACCAAATGTAAAATCGAGATTCCCTCTTAATTGATTAATCAGCACTCTTGGTAAGCGCATCGGAATTTGACATGTTGCTAAATAGTTTAACATGTTAGAAAACCATGGTGAATTTCTTTTTTGTGCCAACATTAAGTGTTCTTTGGAAAACTCCTCTTTGATTGGTGGGGTCGGTTGAGGTGATGGGAATTCGACTCAAATGATCGACCACCAAATTCTCTCACCCTTTTTTCTTTGGAAAACATGTTAGTCTCAATTTTTCTTTCTTCTTGCTCATTAGGTGCCGTAA